TTTTTATTTGTAACCCAAATAGAAATGTTGAATGTACCTTTATATAGTCAAGCTACCACCATTGATACTTCTTTTCTAGAAACATCAATTTTAATATGGGAAACATTTCTGCTTTCATTTTTTATCAGTATACAATAAGTTTTCTAGAAGATATAAAAGTGTATTGATATGTTCTAGTATTCTTCGTTTTTAATTTTTAAGGAAAAATATATTATAATTACAATTTTGATATCAAAAAATCAATTGATATAGCCAAATAAAATATTTTCTGTGTCTTCAATATTTTTTTATAAATGTAAGGCATCCCTAAAGAGTTCCTGGGAACAGGAAGTCTGGGAATTATTGTCATAACCAGTAAAACTTTCATATATCTGATCCTCCTTATACTGCCCTCCTTTATATTCACTTCTAATTTTAGTAATCTGAATTTTTCATTATTTAAAACAACTTTTAAGTTTGAATATATATTGATCATATTCTTCCCCTCCCACAAGTCCTTCCAGATTCTCTCCATTTTCTTACCCACCCAACTTTAAGTTCCTTCTGAAAAAAACAAACAAAACTTTCAATATAACAACACCCCCCCCAATAAAAAAGCAAAAGTAAGGAAACAAAGTAAAAAGATGCCCATAAAGCCAAAATAAAACAAGCCACCAAACTGTAACCAACTAAAATCACAGAAACAACAAAACTCTATTATATGTTGGTCAAATACTCCTTAACATGAGGCCTGTCCTGGAGTGGTTGATATACCAGTTTCCACTGGAGAAAACTGGTTTTCTCTCTCCCAGTAGGTATAAGTGACAGTTCAGTTGGTAATCTTCATCCTAGTGTCTAGGTTTTCTTTCATTCATTCATTCATTCATTCATTCATTCATTCATTTGTTTGTTTGTTCATTCATTTGTTCATTTTTACAAATACAGCAAAATAAAATATAATAAGATAAAACAAGAACTGTCACTTCTGAATTGGACATGACATGCCAACAGAAGGAAAATTATCCAAGAGAAAAATAACTTAAATAACTTTTTCTGTAAGCACATTAGTCTCCCAGTATAATTCTCTGAAGCATTGAACTATATTTTTAAATCATATTTTCCCAGGAAGGAGCATAGTGCTTGCCATATACTTAATAAATAATAAATGTTAATTGAATTAGTAATAAAAATGTGTTTAAAATATATTCAGCATTTATCTGCAGCTATTATTTTGTATACTTTAGTAGTATTGTAATTTAATTCTCACTGTACCCTCATTGCATAAAGTAAAACATGACATGTGTCAAGGCTCAATAAATTCTATTACTACTCTTATTTTTAGCATAATCTTCCCCAAAGTTGAAAAAATTGAAGCAGAAAAAAGGCTAATTACCTTTTGTAATTATAAAGAAATGTGTGGGAAAAGTAGTGATTGGAACTTCTAAGTGAGACTCTAGCACTTATACTGCTTCCCTATAAACAAGTGGAAACAATTATGGAGATGCTCCCATGGTTTGTCTAGTCTAAATTATATTAAAACTTAAGCAAAAGTTACCTATTGTAGTTTATGAGGTAAATAATACATATCTATATAGCATTGTATATACATATATAGAATGTGAGTTTATGTGTAATTTATTTGCCAAATTTCCATTAAATTTTTGTGGATCTGCAACTTACAGGAATGGAAAAGAAAACCTTTCACCACAGATTTCTGCTCCCCCAAAGTAAAAATACTTATTCTAGGAAAGGGCTCAGTACCCCACCCCAAAGATTCACTCCAGATATTTACTTTAGAGTTATTAAAGAAATAAAAGTAATGAAATTTTGATTTCTAAATGTATATGTTCTGTTTGCCAGCTGTTTCAACAAAGTATCTTATAATAGTTAAACTAACTGATGCAAATTCTTTAACAGAGAATATAAACTCTGTATCTGACTGATTAAAACAGAGCAAATCAAAATAATCCAGTGATTCACTCTGACTGTAAACAATATATAAAATTTAAATTTCAAATTTCAAAATAAGTTAAAGAAAAAGTCTACCTTCAGGGTTTATGCTATTATATAAATCTGAAATTTTAAGGGGAAATGTATATGAAAAGTTGCAACAAAACTTTTGGCCCACATTTTCCTAAAAGAAACACATATCTAACTATATTACTTTATCCCTTAAATTTAATGACTTCATAATTTATTGGAAGATTTTTAAACAAACTGGTATATCAGATTACATAACAGAAAACCGTCCATCAAATTTAGCAAAGAAAACTTATATAAGCCTTTTTCTTTACAGAATTAAAAAAATCTAAATGGCTATGATTCTTCTATTAGCAGAAACACATAATGCAGTCTTTATAAATCTGCCATAGATCAATATCCACAGAAACAGATATAGATATGAAACATTAATGGCAGTCTATTTTTGAACAGTGTGTGGGACCAGCAGTTTACATCAGACCATGGCACGATATGGACCCTGCATCTTTAAAAACTGAATAATGAACAAAGGCCCTCCAGCAACAATTTGAGGTGGGAGGTGACTGAGTGGACAGTTCTCAATACTCATGATTGATAGCTTGCTGCAGAGACCCAGTTCAAAGGGGAGGCTGTGAAGACTTGGGGTGTCATTCAAATACAGTTCTTCTAGATTTTCCAGTGTACCAATTTCCTCAGGAAGGTGAGTTAGCAGGTTCTCTCCAAGGGCAAGGTGTGTGAGGTTAGTGAGGTGACAAATGCCTCTGGGAAGAGTGGCCAACTGGTTGTTTGTTAAGACTAATTTCTGTAAATCCTTGAGGTAAGCAATCTCATTGGGCAAGGACTCCTGTTTGTTCTCCTCTAGGTCTAATTCTCATAACTTTCTAAGGTTTCCAAGACCATGGGGAAGCTTCTTCAGAAGATTGTTTGATAATATTAGAACCTCAAGAAAAACAAGGTCATACACATCCTTCCCCTCTCCTTGTACAATGAGGTGAATGTCTCTCTCTAAAGACTGCAGTCTGTGTATGTTTCAAGGTTATTTAACAGTGTACTATGGTTTTATATCTTGACTCGTCTTGTACATTTTTCTTTTCTGGAGTATCTGTGTCTAAGCACAATATCTTCACACTGTGCTGTATTGCTGCTGAACTAAATGCGCTTTCCCCATGTATGGGACACTGGCTTCAAACAATTCAGCTCAGTACCATTATTTTCAATCTCATCTTTTCTTTGTTAGTAGGTGGTATAGTACAGTTACGGAAAAATGGCACCTTGCATTGACACCATTGGTAGTTCCATGGAAGTTGTGTAGGATATGCATGTACTATTTGATAATATTTTCTTTTGCTTTACTGCCTTTACAAATAGCAAAATTGGAAATGTGTGCCTCTTACATAGTACTCTTATTTTGGTAGTATTGGTCTAGGTCAGTTTAATTATTGAAGAGACCCCCCAACAGAGCAAGTGCATTCTAGATACCATCCCAAAACATAGCTTCCATATAATGAATAACTATTATATATAATTAAATATTGCTGCTTATTTTTCTGTTTTTCCTCCCCTCATTTTTTGGGCATTTTGTTCTAAACAACTATTTTTTTTTACAATTATTTTTTTTACAATTTTATCTGTAATCGAGATAAAAATTAGGTACTTTTCCTGGCACTCAAACTCAAGACTGGGTTTGAGGTCAACTCTGATTTCATAACTGTCAAATTTATAAGGAGCAACTAAGAAAAGGAAGGCAGGTAAAGATATAAAACCCTAGACTGCTTAAATGTGCTGTAAAACTATTGCAGATGTTCACTGGATTTTACAAAGGAATATCCTTTCTCCTTTCCATCTACTGTGGCTTTTCAGTTAAGATTTTGTTTATAAAAGGAATTTATTACAGTTCTACCTAGAAAAAAACTTTAGCAAAAAGGCCATGCTTACTTAGTTACTGATCAAAATAGTCATAAAAATTTGGTAATGTAAATGAGACAAAATTGTGGCAAAAGATAAACCACAACAGTTTCTGTATTCACATATTTCTGCACACAACATTTCCTCTCAAATCAGACAATAGTTTACTTGGAAATGGAGAAGCAGTTGTTGGATTTTGGAAGATAGAAAACATACATTATGTAATATATGTTTGGAAAGTTTGAAGCATTTTCCTACCTGGTCTCTTATGAGCATGGAGAGAACATTATGGATTTTATGCTAGTGCAGCTTTAGTGTCAGAGTGAGAAAGAATAAAATCAACAGTTGGGAGATGAAATTTGAATTAAATACTGTTATACAGATATTGATGGCTTTTGTGTTCATAAATGAACTTCATGAGTGCTTGTGTCAATAAGATAATAAGCCATACTCATTAATATGGACATGTAAGTTTAGCATATAAACATAAGTCTGATGACAGCAATATGTTGAACTTGGATGTTATCATGATTTACAAATTCAGCTTCTCAGTCTAACTGAAGGTTTGTGACCTCTTCCAAAAGCTTCCAGAGTAAAGAAGGAGCTTGTGGGAAGCAACTTTAATTATCCACTTCCTCATGAACTGCAATGTGTGTGTGTGTGTGTTATATTATGTGTTTAATATGTATTTATAAAAATATATATGGTGTATATACTAAGGTATATACATATATATACATGTATATATATATAATGCATTCATACACACATATATGGTGAGATTCTTCATGGTTGGCATTTCAGTGTCTCCACATGAAGCTATTTTCAAAATTATTCAGTTTTATTCTCTAAGTAATTTTATAAAATTCCTAGTACTTGCCTTAGCTATATATGATCATAGACTACATAATTTATAGTTCTAGTTCAAATCTAGTGTTTTGATCTTTTGAAATTTCATTCTGTTCTAAAGCAGTGAACACTGACTACCACTTTGAAGGCTTGGAGATAGACCTGGTACCCTTGTAACAACTATACCCCTTATATAAGAAAATGGTGCCATTGTGATTATATAATGTATAATAGATGTTGAAACCTGCCATTTTGTTGATTTCCTGCTTGTTGTATTCTAGATCCTAAAGAAATGCTTGATTTGAAACCATAGCAACTTGTATTCCTTGCTGAACTAAGTAATGGCCTCAAGAACATACATTCATTTTACTGAAATCAGACGATTCAAACCCACTGACGATGAATAAATATTTCATTGGGAAACGTGAGAAAACATGTATTCATCCAAGGTACAGTATCAATGACAGACCAAAGAAACAATTCTGTCCAAGTGTAGCTTGGTGAACCAATGATTTTATTGGATTTCCATACGGAAGCATGAGTGAAGGATTTCCTACAGTAATATGGGTAGCCTACACACTGCATTATCAAAAATAGTGACCTCACCATGGATGATGAAGACTTCCCCCCAGTTGTTTTTTCACTCCCTCTATATGCTTACACCTCCTGAGACCCATTACAGGAGGGGCAAAATTACTTACAGCTAAGTAGAGACATGCAGGAGGGAGGGAGCAGCTGAAATTTCAGGTAAGAGTTCAGTGATTCTATCCACCATGTCCTTCTCTGAGGGAATGTTAAGACCCGATCTTGTTGGGAATCTCTTGTGGGTAATCACAACTGCTTTGATTAAGATGGTACTATCTATGTTATTCTGTGATGTGACATTATTCTTATGGAGAATTAACAAATATCTACTCACTCCAGATAGAGAGCCAACCAAAGTAATTTTATCATCAGAGTTCATCTTGGTCAACTGATGACTGTATTGTGGTTACCTATTTCAGTACAGGTGTATATTTGGAGATTCAGAGGACTTGAAGGAAGCTTAAATATTAAAATTCCACCCCAGTGTTAGTGACAACTCATGAAAACTGGAACCCTGAACTCTTTGCAAGAGTTGCTTACAACTCAATATATCATAAAATCTCCTACTCTCAAAAGTCCTTACTTCTCATAAACCCTTTAGGAGTTAGGGGCATTATGAATCTATTAAGTTTCAGGGACTTCCTAAGACTTATGAGTTATTTACTTTTGCAGTCTTAATGAGTCTTCTTTATAACTTCCTGAGTTTTAATGAGCTTTCCTCCAGGATGGAATTTCCAATGGGACAGAATTGCCACACAACATATGTTCTGAGGACAGTAGTCTACAAAATTTATAAAGATTTATCATAAAGCCTCTGCTCCTTTCCCCAGGAAGAATGTAAATTTTTTATTTAAAAAAGAAAAGAAAAAAGTTTGCCGGGCAGTGGTGGCACACACCTTTAATCCCAGCACTCAGGAGGCAGAGACAGGTGGATCTCTGTGATTTCAAGGCCAGCCTGTTCTACAGAGTGAGATCCAGGAAAGGTGCAAAGCTACACAGAGAAACCCTGTCTCAAAACAAAACAAAACAAAAAACAAAAACAAACAAACAAACAAACAAAATTCTAAGAACTTGAGCCCTTATTTTCCCAAGTAACACTAACTTGTTACCAGTATTGTTTAAGCTTTCAGTGATACATAGTTTCTTCACAAATGAAACTTTTCTAATACTGTTCAGGAAGTTGTTAAATTAAAGATAAGTTTCATATGTTGTGATCATTCAGCGTCTGGGAATGAAGTAAAGAAATATATAATAATGATCTACTTTGTGGGGCTATTTATTTTGTGTGCACTATTCATAGGAATAGGTTTGTGCTAGTATTATGAGGTATTATGAGTGTTCTTTCAAAAGATCAAATACTACATTAGCATAGCATACCCTGGAGTTAGGAGATCTGTAATTGGTTATGTTTTATTTCCGATATATTCTAAGGACCATATGCCATGAATCTATACCTACCCATAGGCATCAATAAAATCATAAATATGTTATAACAATGAAGTGACACTTCATAAAGTGTCTGGTATGAGAAGTATTAGTATTTATTAAAGGAATGAAATAATACGGCTAACAAACATTTACTGAGCACTGACTAGTAATTTTCACTACGTAGTTTCTTTTTTTTATCAAAACACAACTATAGCTATGCATTATAGTTTTTTAAAATTTATCTATTCTTTAAGAATTTCAGAAAGTTTATTTTATCATATTCTTTCCTGTCCCCCAATGCTGTGGGATGTTCTGTATGGCAAATGTGTTGCTGATTAGTCAATAAATAAAACACTGATTGGCCATTGGCTAGGCAGGAAGTGTAGGCAGGACAAGGAGGAGAATAAAGCTGGGAAGTGGAAGGCTGAGAGAGGCACTGCCAGCCGCCATGATGACAAACAGTGAAGATGCCGGTAAGCCATGAACCATGTGGCAAGGTATAGATTAATGGAAATGGATTAATTTAAGCTGTAAGAACAGTTAGCAAGAAGCCTGCCACGGCCATACAGTTTGTAAGCAATATAAGTCTCTGTGTTTACTTGGTTGGGTCTGAGCGGTTGTGGGACTGGCGAGTGGCAGAGATTTATCCTGACTGTGGGCCAGGCAGGAAAACTCTAGCTACACCCCAACATTATACTTTTTCATGTATTAGGACTGAATAAACAAGTTAGTTACAGAACTTTAAAACAAATAGTCAAATTGTAAGATACAACCATCTGGCCAATATGACGCCCTATCTAAGTCAGTCTGCACACTTGAGATCGTGCATTGAATATATCCAGATGTCCACAAGATTTGGAACTATATTAGCTATTTATTATAGGTTATTATAGGTTAAGGTTATTATAATGTTATTATTTCATTAATATCTCCTCTTTGGTATGACACAGGAAAATAGAAAAAAAATAAGCAATCGTACTTATTCCTAATAATGTCACTCTAAATATTGTGCATAATATCCACACGTTGGTACGTATATACTAATATATATACATATATATAAATATGTGTGTATGTATATATATATATATATATATATATTAAACATTTTACAACACATGGCTCCACTATTAAAATTTGCCTATTCTTTCATCAATCATGCTTTTATTATTTCTATTTAAAATATTTATATTTGCTCTTATTATTATTGTTATTGTGTATTGTTTGATGTGTATGAAGGAGTATGTTGCATGCCTAATGTGTTGAGGTTAGAGAGCAATTTTGTGAATCAGTTATCTCTAGCCACCTTTCTGTGAGTTCCAGGGATCAACTCAGGTTGTCAGGCTTATGTGGTGTGAAGGAAAATCCCTGAAAGGAAGCTGCATCTGCAGAGACTGGTTGGCTGCTCAGATTTTCAGTCCAGTGGAGTGGTTGCATTGTTGCAGGTCCAGAGTCTAATGACCTTATCTTGGACTATATTATGGCCCTTCAGAACAGCTGTTCCTTTCTCCACCTCACACTGTGTTGGAACTAACGTCTCATGGCAATAGATAAAAATGTTTTAGCGTCTATTAAATTAATAGTCAACTGGCTTCTACCAATCCAAAAGCTAAGAATGCTATCAGATAGCATCTTGAGTCTATAGAAAAGCTTCCCCCATCTTGATGTACCCGCCTCTCTGATATACCAAGCAATGTATTTTAAAATTTCCTTGATGTTTTTTTGTCAAAGTGGGCATGCTAGGAACAAATTAGAACATGATATTAATTAATGAAAGAGGTACTATGGCTACCTAACTCAAAGACACCAAGAGCAGCGTTCATTGCTATAAATGTGGGAACTTCAGGCTAGGGCCCAGACATAGAAAAGACATGTTAGTTCTATCTGCATTTCCCCCAATCTTCCTCTGATTTATGGCACTATGGTCACGTGCATTTATTTAGTCCTGCTGTTTAAGCATTTCATGTGGAGGAAAGATGGCTGCCTTCAGTCCTCACTCTGAACATAACTTCAGAATGTATGAGTTAGATTTCTCAAAATATGCCGGGGGTGTATATTATAAGATGGCCAGGAATGCTAGTGAAATGACACCGATATATCTGGACTCATAAATTTGGATGTTAGAACATGAGAATTTCACATAGGATAACTGCATTCTAGGTATCACAACAAGCGTTCAGATTTACTGTATAGTGAAGATACTCTATATATTATAACATTTTTCCTTTATACTTTTAAAAATGGCAGTGATACAGGTTTTAATTTTACTTGTGCAATGTGACTTTATCTATGTCAAGCATCCAGAAATATTGCTTGTTGGTAGGTTACAAAAGGTAAATCCATGCACTACACAAACAAAGAATAGTATGATTTTAACAGACAGAAGTTTAAGTTTGACTTTTCATATCTTGTCACTTGATCTTGCCAGATTGATTTATGATAGACAATAAAGTTGTCAAAGGTCTTTTGTTGTTGGCAGTGTTTTAGTTTTCAAATTATGAAAATGTAAAGTTTTGCTGTACAGAGTAAAGAAGGGACTTCTTTGATTGATATGAGTGAATGACAGTTACTCCTGAGAATAAAGCTTGGTGCTGTGAAAAAAAAATTTCCGTGATGTATGACTTTCTTTGTTCTGTAAAACTAGAAAAACCTTGTGAAACTGCTTCCACATTGGAACATTGAATATCCTAAATCTATGTTTCCTGGCCGTGGTTACTCTAAATGGCTCCAGAATAAACTGTTTCTTCTTCCTTTAAGACGAGAGCTGTGGTTGACAGTGACAAGCAACTTTATCCACTGAGCCATCTCATCAGCCCCACTACTATAATTTTAAAATTATTGTGGGATGAAGTTGTTATAGTATAGCAATAAATTTCTCTGTTATGTGTCATTTATATTAAATATTTCAAAATTATGCTTATTGACAATTCCAAGGACATAGAAAATAGTGATATATGTGAAATTGTATTGATGGACATTTCTGTTCTTTTTTTTACAAATTTTATTTTAGAATTATGCTATGTTGAGCATTTCTATACACAAACACAAATGTGACATTTTCTTTCTTTTTTTGTTTTTGTTTTTGTTTTTGTTTTTCAAGACAGGGTTTCTCTGTGTAGCTTTGGTGCCTTTCCTGGAATTCACTTGGTAGCCCAGACTGGCCTTGAACTCACAGAGATCCGCCTGCCTCTGCCTCCGGAGTGCTGGGATTAAAGGCGTGTACCATTACCGCCTGGCTTAAATGTGACATTTTTCTGCAGTATGTTGTATGAAGCTTATGGAAAGCCATTGTTTTGGCTAGCGCCCTGCACTAGGCCCCAAAAGACTAAATCAAACCAAAAAGCTTCTTGTGCTAGATGCCAGGTAATACAAGTGATCTCTGAAAGCAGCTAGTTTTCATAAACAAACTAAAATTCATGAAGAATGTTCTTGTTCT